AGAAAAGATAGCTGGCAAGCAGGAGAGACGCACAAAACTTTTATCATTTTCACAGTCCAAGTGAGCAACGAGAATAGTTAGTAACGGCGTACTTGCCTCCGCAATCCGCACCATGCCGCCGGAGTCCTTTTGGCAAGCACTCTTGTTCACCTCCTTGATGTTGTCGCTTATTTAAGCAGCTTAATTTTGATGCCACGTTGCCAACGGCAGCAGTTTGCCCTTCACACGGGGAATCCAGTGCTGGTGCAGTGTTGTCTTGGCCAACAACCGGCCCAATCAATCACTGACTGTGCTGCCAACAATGCATGATGCAAAAATGTGTCGCGTTCGCACCTCCAGAGGCCCTCAAATGCCAAAGTCCCAAGCCAATCAAGCGCAAGGTATGACTGCAAATCTGTGGGCACGGAAAATGCCTTCAACTCCGGACATTCTGCCTGCCGATGTGGATGCTACTGCCTCTGTCGCCGCCACAGCGACTACGGCCGGATCCGCTGTCTCCGTTGCTGAGCGCCGTGTACGCGAAGGCATGAAATTGGGTCACTAGGCGAGAGGCGGGGTTCCGGGTCGTGGCATTCCGTTCCGCACGGATTCAGATTCGAGCTCGACCCACAGACGCACAAAATGCTATGGTACAGGTAGAAAAAACATCGAGTTTTTCAAGTAAGCAATATGAATTATTATTGTTAAATATTAAATAAGAAATAAATATTTATTACATTAATTATTTTACACCAATTACTTTTTAACAATTTTTAAAATAGTATTAAAATTATTCAAAACTACGATTTAAGTTACGAAATAAAGTATGTATTAAGCGAAATTATTTAATAATATATTTTTTTAAATAAAAATAATATAAATAATAATTTATAAAATGTATTGGATGGGTGGTGGGTGCTAAGAGGTTTTCGGTGGGTGGTCGGTGAGTGGCTAAAGCGCAGGAAGGAAGCCAACGCGCGCTAAGCGCCGTCGCTTGATGGAGCTCATCATAATTTTTGGGGCGCAATGGTGGAAAACCCAAAGGAAACAAAACAAATCGAAACGGAGCGAACAAGAGCAACATGTAAGGGAGCGAGAAAAATCGGGAGAGACAAAGAGAGAACGGAAACAGAACGGAGAGCGAAAGCTCCGAAGCTTTTCGAGTTTTCGACGCTAACCTTCATCTTGAACTTCACGGAGAGGGGAGTCCAATGCTTGTGTGTGTGTGAGTGTGAGTGGGTGGTTGGGAGTTCTATGTTTCATTTCTAGGCCAAGTACCGACCCTTTACCATCCTTGGCCATAAAAACATATGCAACAGGAGGGAGTTCATTCATGACCAACCCACACCATCAAACAAGGAAAAAACGTAGTAAGCAAAGGTTGTAAGGAAAAAAGGGTTCTATCCAAGGCAGTGCCTGAAAATTATAATTCTTTCATAATTTTTGGAGGGTCATTTGGAGGGTCTTCAGAAATTTAATACTTGCAATTTTTATGATTTAAGAAAAGCTACATGTTCACATAAATATATTTTATTATAATATTTAATTTTTATTTGTAATAAAAGTTGTGTGTTTACTTAGTATGTTAAGTTTAGAGTGTGAAATATTAAACTAAATTCTGTAATATTTTATAGGCAATATTACATTTATTAGGCCTGATAAATTACTTAAAATACTTAAAATTTTCAAACAAATATTTATAAGCCAAACGTGTTGCAAAAAAAATATTGTGATAAACTTTGCGACAGCTCTATCAATATGAGAGTCGGCAATGTTATTATAAATTCCATTCTTAGCATAAACTTATGTTGTGTACTTTGAATTTATTACAGACAAAATGCCAGATTTGACCAAAAAATATTGAGAAATAATTTGAAATTCAAATTCTTGTAACGGTTGAACTCCCCGTCGAGCTTTGTTCCAGAGAGTTGTGGACAACCCGATGCCGAAAACATCGCACTGACCCCTCTTCGAGCTTTCCACACACACACACAAACACAAACTCTCTCTGGCGCTCTCTCGGGCACGCACACCATCACCAGCTCTTATCAAACGACAACGGCTGGCTGGAAGGCTGACAAGCAGGCAGGCAGGACTCGCTTTAAGGATAGCACAGGAGCAACACGCGGCAGGAGCAGCAGCAATAGCAGCAGCAATAGCAGCAACAGCAGCAACAGCAGCAACAGTGCGATGGATGCACGCAGCTTATAAGGTGAAAAACGAAACTGGAGCAGCTCAGTTCGCTGTTGGCAGGCGTCGCCGAAGGTAGTGGCTCAACTCAACCAGCGGAACCAGCGCAGGAAGTCCAGTCGGAAGCCGAGGAGCCAGAGTCTCCCAGTCAGGAGTGGCAATCGAATCGAATCCTCCAAGACCAACTACCCAAAAATGTGAAAGTGAGTGCGCGAGTGTGCCAAGTGAAATGAAATTAAATGAAATGAAATGAAACGAAACGAAGCAAAATTAAACTCGACCAAACTAAAGCAAATTGAATAGAATTAAATTGAGAGGAGCAGCAGCAGCGGCAATTAAAAGCAAATTGCTTGTGGCCCCAGGACGAGGGATATAAAGGCAAAAAGCGACGGGATCCGCCCGTTTTTGTCACGCTGCATTTGCACATAATTGCAAACTGTTGCTCGGCCTGCAGTTTCGCTTTTTATTGCCAGGCGATAAAATAAAAATCCATTTGGTCCGAAACCTCCGACAACTGTTGCACATAGGACTCCATACCATGTAGGACTTGGGACGTGGACACAGGGACACAACTCTACATCACACTGCACTTGGGGGCCACAGAACTTTTACGATCTCAGCGTTGGTCATGCCCCATTAAATATGCTTCTGAATGTTTTGTTCAAGTTGAAACGGAAAGCGAGAAACGAAATACGAAATACGAAAAGTGCACAATCGAAAATTATGCTAAAATAAATATAACAAAAACATCCGCATAAAGGACGAAGCAGACTACAAAAAACTAAAACAAAAAAAAAAATACCCTAAAGGAGGAGCAACTTTCATTCTAAAAATTTGCATCAGAATTTCCGAGTTCTGGTCAAGAGCGAGCAGCGTGTCAATTTATGCAGCCATAAAAGTTAAAGGGGAACTCGGGAGCACCAGAAAGGAGAAGCAGTGCCATTCACAAGGTGAGTCCTTGAGTTACTACCCACTATGCATGGGAAATGGTTCAACAATTGACAATCTGCCAACGACATTGCCAATGCAATTAATGATAACAACCAAAGCATTCATTGGTTTTTAGTTATTGATGCCAGTCTTCGTTATTAATTTAAAGCTTGTAAATTCCACATACCCCAGTGAATTATTCATGGCTAACATATATGTATATGCTATATATATATATTATTAACACCTGAGGTACATTGGGAGTTGGGAATGTCCAGCTGGAAAGTTGATTCATGGCTAATAACATCAGACAGAACGCGCGAAATTGCGATTCGGGGAAATAAAATCTGTTTTATTATGGCAATTAAGTATTCATGCAATTATTACAAATCAATATTTATGTTCACTCTCAGCCACCGATGCATTTTTTAGGATAAATCGCGGAAAGTCGAAACTCTCGGGGCGTATACGTAATGCGTATTTTCTTTAATCATGGTAAACAAATATTGGCGCAGAGGAGCGAAAGCTGACTGTAATGTTTTGATGGAGTTTTGCCTTGGGCGACTTTAATGGTCGCTTCCTTATCGCGCCAAACTATTATGGCCACGTACACGAGTATTATGCGTATTATATGTAATATGTCGTGCAATTTGCTGCCTTATATCATTTACCGTGGTGTCTGCGAGAGTATCTGCAGCTGTTGTTTTTATGGCTTTTGGCTGGTGGTGGTGGCCTACGTGGATAACTGGGAAATAGAGCAGCAAACACACCACACATATGCTAGCAAAAACGTAAACAAAAACAGCAACAGGCGAATGGGTGTGGTATATCCACAGTTAATTAAAACTCAACTTCAATTTGGCATCTGTTCAGCCATAGATCCCTAATTAAATTTATGCAAAATCTGTGTCAACAAACACACACAAATACAGCCGTGCACTTCTATCGAAATGCAAATTTCAAATCAAATTAACCAAAGTAATTCCATTGTGGCCCACCTGGCGTATGAGTACCGCATATCAAGTGGTGCCATCTGTTTTGCTTGCTCCATTACAAAGGAAAACAATTAGGCGGCAAGATAAAGGAGAAGGAATAAGGAAGAGCAATCGGAATTAAATGCTTTTCCACCGATACCCTTCAAAGTGATTAATATCCCGTCTAAGCAATCAATTCTAAAAATAATCTCTTTAGCAGGGTAAACTTTTCATCCCATGCAATAACAATCGATTCCAAAAATAATCTTCAAAGCTGAGTTAACTTCCCATCAAAGGGCATAGACTCCGACTTTTTGTTAGGGTATGACTAAAAAGCGAGACCGTGCACAAACAAAAAGTACGGGTCGACAATGAGTTTGGGGACAGGCTTTCATGTCAACTTTGTTAATTAAATGAAGCACTTAACATCCGAGACATATTTCACCCTTTATTTCGTTGGGCTGCGTTTTGTTTTCAATGTTTATTTTTTATTTTTCAGCTGACTACATAATTTGGTGCGCCACTTTAATGACTGTCCAGCTGCGAACTTCTTATCATAATTTTAATTTTGCTTCCGTTTGCTTTGCGCCACTTGTGTGCTTTATTGCTCCTCCTGGCCACGCCCCCACCAGCAATCCCGCCCCCTGGTCCGACCACTCGAACCAATGTCCTTAGACTCGCCAATTGAATGTGGCCAACTTCAAAGACTTTCGTGGGGTATTTCATTAAAATCATTCTTGGGCGCTGCGACTTTTGCCTTTTTCGTTGCTGTTTTGCATAAAGGTTATAAAACAAGTTCTCGTTCACTTTCATTCTTCAACTATAATTGCAAGAAAATTGTTCATTTCTGATGACAGCACAACTTTGCCTTCCCGTAAATATTTTTTTTGTAGTTTTATTGCTGCTGGGCAATTACTTTTTTTTTAACTATTTCAATTGTTTTTGACATCTCTTGTTTGCTTGCCAGCTGCATTTGTTGTGGTTTCTGTGGTCGGAAGGTTAGGGAAAGGCTTACAACCAAAGCAGAAACAAATGCACACGTTTTACAGCACAACCAATATGTTTTCAAAGAAAAACCACAACTTTATTGCTTTCAAATTTCAAGGTATTTTTTTTTTAAAGCGCAAGCACAACCCTTAAAATGCAGATTTCTAGCAGTAAGAAAACTTTTGTATGAGTTCAAAAGAAAGAATTTAGTTTTTTAAAACAAGAATACATAGTATTTGTTGGCGAATTTTAAAACACTCTTTTAAACCACAATTGAAATACAATCGCTTATTGATTTTATAGTTGTAGGGTATTTGATTTGTATAAAGTGGCAACAAATCTTGCTACCTGTTTAAGTTTGTTTTTTTTGAAATTGAAAATAATTAAAACTAACTGAATATATGTTTATAAAGTATAGAGCCAAACTTTGTTTACATTTCATTTATTTTAAAGTAAGCTTTGACATTAATTTTAAATCAAGTGTAGTGCACAGATACATAATTCGAAATGTCGAAAGATTTAATGGACTGGACAAATGATACATTTGTAATGCGATCTCATTTGGCTTTGTTAAGTTTGGAAACGCCCACTGGCAAAAGTTCTTTGTTGTTTCTTTTGGTATTGAACTACTACTACCGAAAGGTTGCCATGTCAATGAGCTCACTTACACGGGGTATTCAATTCATATTGCTCTAATATGTGACAATAAGTATCCTTCATAAGCTCGATACTTACATATTCCCCCCTTTGATTTCCGATGACCTCTGGCGGAACTGTCGCAAAATGTGTCGCCTGCTGTGTGCCCAAATATTTGTGTTATGTCGCCGACGATGAGCGTCAAATCAGAATTCGATATGTGCGACAGCCAAGAGACATATAAGATATGTGAGCGAAAAGAATTCCCATTCCCGCTCCCAGATCGAATCGAGAAATACCCTCATCGCGGCAGTTGAACGTTGAAAGTTCGCCACATCAAAGAGTCCTTGAAGGAGTTATTAGCATGCCCATTCAGTTATGAAGGGTATGACAGAAATGGGCAATTAACCTTATCAAGGCGCTGCGTTCCAGTAAGACAAAAAATGTCAACGAAGCTGTGTTCTCAGCATCGTTAAGATGTGGGAGTGAGGAAAGGCGACAGCAAAGGAAAAAAAAACGCAAAATAAAAATAAATAAAACAGGACGAGAAACCGAAACCTGAAGCAGCTACGGTAGCCTAAAATATACGACATTAGGCAGAAGGAATGCCGAAGCAAAGGCTTTGGCGAAGAAGTTGAAGAGAGGGATGGAGTCCTTCAACCGGGTGGCAAAGGCAAAAAGCAATTTCAAATATTTTCGTTACCTGCTTGTAGAAATTTTTACGTTTTTCTGATTACGGTGCAAGGCTTTCGCTACCTTCTTTTTTATTGTTGCTGTGTAATTGTGCGCAACAAAAAAAAATAGGAGAGACACGATGAAATGGGTTAAGGGTAAGGGTAAGGGTAAGGAGTTGCAAAAAGGACGAGCAAAACCCAACAGGGGGAGCACTTAAAGCATGACTCCGAGGCTCCATTCTTGACATTTGAAATGCAAAGAAGCAAAGAAGCATTGCATACTTTCCACTTCTGGTGGAGCAGAGTGGAGGCAAAACATTGCATATTATAGCCGAGTGGAGATGGAGATGGCCAGGAACAGGTGCACTGGCGTTTTGATGTAGCACAACAAACAGCTGCAGCGAAATGTTCCTCTCAAGGAACCGGGTTTGTCAACCATACAGCAGGACGAAGATGTTTGTTGTTTATTAACCATGGCACACTTATCTGAAGCAGCTGAATGGAATTTCCTGTTACGGAGTGCAGCAGAAGTCTAGAATTGGCAGCAGAACTTTCAGATATAATTGGAATTTGTCTTAAAATATCTACAATGCTTTCAAAAGTTGCGAACTACTTACACGAGTATGAGAGTGCAGAAACATAATAACTGTCAATCTCAAGGAAATCTAAGGATTACTTCAGTGGAGCTTTTACAAAGACTTAACTTGTTAAGAAAACTAATTTAAAACTTTAATATAGCTAGTTAACCAAATATGTAAGATAAGGCCATAGTTAGCTAAACTACAAATCTTTAAAACAAGCTTCTAGGCAATAATAGTCAGCGGTAGTACAAAAATCGTTTGTAATTTAAAAACAGCTGAAAATGTGTATAAAATTATGCAATATTATAGTTGTTTGCGGAGGTTGCATTAAAAAAAGGTTTTCAATTTATATTGAAGTATTTTAGAAGGGTTTATTATTATGTAGGTTTTAGATTCGGCATAATTTAATTGAAGTTGTCTATATTTATCCAATAAAATTCGAGCTCCATCTCCATATAATGTTTATTAATTCATCTCCTTGACATAAGAGCGTCATGTCCTTGCAAAACCGGAATTATCCTGCGGAAGAGCTTTACACCTACTGCTCTTCTGGACTATAAATAGACTCAGCCCCGCGCCAACTGTTGCGCAGTTCGGAAAACTAAAAATAGCAGCCAGCTGTGCTCCTTCGCAGAGCGGCATAAAATCGAATAAATGCTGCCGATGCCGCTGCCGATGCAGACAAACCCGAATTACTTGACACGTTTCACTGTCCTGCACAAATGTTGACGTGTTTTAGTGTAAACATACACGCGGATGCGGATGGGATACCGTTACGCGTAAGCACTCAAATACACATTTGTGTAGCTGTTGGATGTTTATCAGCTTGTCGCATGATTGATTTATATGCCTTCTGCATTATTAATGGACGGGGCCAAGTCAATTGAAACGACTCCGCAAGACTTGGCTCATTCGTTATTGATGGCCTGCATGAAAGTGACACACACGCTCACCGGGGGAAAATATCATCGAAATTGGACATCAATTCCGCATTTTTATTATATCCAAATGGATCCTATTTGTGACCATTCAACAGGAATTTTTAGCTAAAAGGTAATATCTTTAATGCAAGGTGCTACTGAATCTCTTGAGTTTATGATTTATATTTCAAGGGTAAGCAGGTCACGTGCTGTTTGCTACCAAGCACATTTTATTAAGCGAATATTTTGTAGCAACAACTCTTTATTCAGATTTTAGCAATCGCGTACATATACCATCAAAATCTGGGGATTTTAAACATCTTGTCAAAATGTTTTTTCTCTTCAGTTATAACTTAAATATTTACTTGCCATAAGGGAAACCCACTATCTGTTAGCATATGTAAATTATTGTTTTCAAAACTTCTTAAAGAAACAACTTAAGAACCAGCGATAGATCTCATCTTTTCATTACGTTTTATATCAATCTTTTCTATTGATATGATTCTCCTAATTGGAAATGGCAAAATGGCACTGACGTTGTTATGTTTTTCTCTGTGCACACGAAAAAAAGGGGGAGAAAAACAAAGGGTAAAATTGAAGGTAGCTCGGTGCTTAATTGCGACTCCTCTGGGAGCAAGCGTCGCCCGGTTGACTTTGTTCGCTCAAGCAGAGCTGAAAAATGGAAAACGGCAAGGAATGCAAGCTGCGGAAGCGAGACAAAGTAAAAATTTCCTTTTGTTTCTATTCGGAGACCCGAAATACAAAAAATAAGAAGTGGTTCCACGGCAGATGCGACTCCCTAAGGTACACACAAGAAGAACTCACGCATGTGACAATTCCTCGGAGGACCTAAGTAAACGTGGTTGGGCGCAGCTGACTGTTTTATGGCTCAATCATAATTTTTCACACTGTTAATGTGCAAATGCGCCGCCAGACAGGAGGTGAGTTGGGTGGAAAAACGGAGGTGGGGGTGCGAGGGATGGCCACTTGGAAAGGCGGCAAACACTCAGACAGAACAAACACACAAGCGAAAGAGTGTGTGCGTGGAAAAGTTTTTCAAGTGTTAAATGAGATAACGTAAACATTGTGAGGCTGCCAGGACAATGGCTGGCAGTCCTCGTCTCATAGCAACACGTTGACAGACTGACAGCCACCTCATCCTCTCCAGTCATCCACTCCTCCACGGTCATAATAATTATTAAAAATAGCTGCCGCTGCTCGAAAGTTCTTAGGCAAAATGAACATTTTTATGGCCTGCCAGTGCGCGCCTTTCAGTTTGCTAAAAGTTTTCCTTTTGCTCGGTGTAATTTATTGTTGAACTGACGTTTTCAGTGCTCCTTTTTTCATGCGGAGTATCTGCAAATATTTGCGAGTTCCTTTGACACTCGCAGGCGCAACACTTTTGGTCCTTCATCTTAATTGAGTTACAACAAGTGCACAAATCGCTGTGGAATAAGTGAGATTGAGCTGCTGGGTCGGTTAGATCAAGTGTTGCAGCCTAATGAATTGCCCGGATTGCATTGGTTTCATCGGGTTAATGGAGTGTTCTTCTGGCTTTTACCTACAGTTCATTTCAGGCTCAGTCATTCGCCTGTGCTCAAGCCAAGCTGGTATAGTTTCTTCCATTCCTATTTGCCGATTGCTGTTTGTTAGCTCTGCAAATAGCAAATACTGATGGCTATACTACACTGGGAAAAAGGAATACTAAAAGGGCAAAGACATTAATTCTGCAGATATTTGTTTTATAATATTACACTCTAAAAATAAGAAAATTTGAAAAAATATGAAATAGGGTTGAGGGTGGACAAATAAAAAAAATTTTCTTTAATAATTACCATCCTCCGTTGATTGTGATCAATCACAAATTCTTAAGCCCTGTTTTTAACGCATACTCACTAATGCTCACATCGCCTAATTTTCTTAAGTGTTAAATATTATCCTGCCCAGAGATGCTTCTGTATTCATATGTGTCTGGCTATAACAGGATATTCATCACATCGCAACCCCCTGCAACGCCAAATGTCAATTTCAATTTATTGAATATGTAAAGAGATCAGTCGCCCGAAGAGAGGGTAAACTGAAATAAATGGGCGTTAGAATATAAAATGGAAAACGATGCGATGCCAGCTGCGTCTTGTTGTCGGCCTCGTTTGGTTGCTTATTAGTTTAAATTGTAAACAGGAAGTGTTGCGGCACCGGATATAAGGCCAAGGCGCTTTTGGGCCAAGAATGCGAGGGAAGTGGGCGGATGCTAAGACGAAGGAGGACTCGACTTGCCTTTCGCCTGTCAGCAGCAGGCGAGTAATAAACTTTTAAGCGAATGACAACAGCGGAAGCACAGTGCCAAGAGCTGTCTCTTCACTTGGCCTTGGCTTCCACCCCCCCCCCCGCCCACTCCACCATCCTTTCTGTTTGCCGTTTGTTGCAACTGTCGAGCATTTAGTTAACTCTTGGCGGTGTCCTTGTCGCTGTCACTGAGTCGCCAGAGTCGTCAGTCAGCGGCGGAGGAAGTCTTGGCCGCCAGGACATGGCGAGTCAGTTAGCCATCCAAGTCGGCGGCTTAAAGCTCAATGGGGTCTTTAATTTGCTGCTGCAGCTACCAGTTCTCGACCCTCCTTCCTCTTTGGCCATCTCCCCTGATTTATTCAGCATTTTCCTGCATTTTGCATGAGCTGCTCATTGTTGTTGCCGATGTTGATGTTATGGTGATAGTGTACGTGTATGTGAATGCACAGAGGAAAAGCTCTGAATTTGGCATTATTCATCAAATATTGAGAGCATTCAGGGTGAGGTATAAAAAATACTGCCATACTTAATAAATAGTTTAGTTTTTTTTTAAAAGGTTCGCCTTAATAAATGTTTTATGTGAGAGCTTAGATAAGTACTTTTATTAATTTTAGGGACACAAAAAACTTTAAAATGCAAATATAAACCAACATTTTTTTTTTAAATGCTGAATTATGGTAGAGACTAAAGTTTTGTAAACAAATAACTAGCATTAGCATGTTAAAAAATTATAAATGGTAATTAGAATTACAAGTAAAAAGTTTTAAAATTTAAGTATGTTATGATGGAGTTTAAATATTTTTATCAGTGCATGTGCTTTGTGCTTTGGCATACTAAAACGCACAAATGCTTTCATTCATTCATTTCAAGCAGCTCTTAAAGTCATGCCAACGGGGCGGATGTATAATGTGTGAGCAGTCGAAAACCGAGCGGAGAACAAACAAAGTGGTAGGGGGAATTGAGACCAACAAGACAACAGAAATTAATTTAAAAATCCTTGAGTGAAGTGAAGGATCTCCAAATCGCTTAA